TTAATATAATATTTCAAATCAAAACTAAAGAATAAGAATAAACAATAAACACAAAGGTTAAAAAGGAGCATACAGCCAGCGCAAGTTATTATTAGCGAAATTGATTGATTTTATTTTGTTAATTATATAAAATTCTAATATCATAAACGTTTCAATCAATATTCGGTCCTCTTCAGTTTAATCATACAATTTTTTCTATCATTATTACAGTTTAATTTACGCAGTTCTATTATTACAATACATTTAGTGTTCCTTTCGCAATTAGTTACAAGAATTAAGTTCTTGAGATCTTGCAATTTTGATATATTGACAGTTGTTGAAATTATTCTCGGCACAAAATTTCCAAATTCTATGTGAATGTAACAATTGCACTTGTTATAATAAGAATGTTTCTTTTTAATTTCTGTATTCTAATTCTTTAAGAAGATGAAATATTACTTTGATGTGTTATAACTTGATCTTGCTTGTTATGATTATTTTGATCTTATGTGATTTCAAATCAAGCTTTATATAAAATATGTATAAAATATTTATATAACATTTAAACAAATGAGTGTAATAATAAAAATTTTTTATAAATATTCTGTACTGTCTGGGTACAACATTCTCAAAATTTATCAACTCGTAAAAAAATGAATTTGTTTCTTGTAAGGTTTATATCTAATCACAAATATTGTGTACAATAATATTAAATTAATTTTTTGATAGTACAGTTTGAAATTTCTATACAAAATTTGGATAAAAACGATTAATATACCTAAATGGTTTAAATTTTTGAATTGTAAATTCAAAAAATATATAATTTTTAAATTTTACAATGTATTAAGGACAATGTCAACATATATTTATCTTTTAAAAGATATCGGACAAAAAATGTTTACTTATTGTCAGGCATAATTTGTAATGAAATTAATCTTCTTATGGTAAGTTAAATTTTCAAGGATATTCGGAAGAGTAGGATTGAATAATGTTATTTTTCAAAATAATACCAGTTTGTTTACTAGGATTAAGTATAAGCGAAACCCATTAATAACATTAAGAATAAATAATTTATAGATAAATAACGTCAGTTTGTTTGCTAGGATACTAGGCACTGTTCTATATTAATATAGCACATAACACTAGTATTTTCTTATATATTGTATATAAGAAAAATCAATTTGGTCTATATTGTTATATGGTGAAATATCAAATATCAAACGATCACGTATCACACAATATTAATTCACTAGAAAAGAGAATAAAAGAACTTATTGCGAACTCATAAGAAATAAAGTTAAATTAAAGTCAACGATAATTATATATAAAAGTCATTATTCGAAGGAGATACTCTAATTATTTGACTTTAATAAACTACAATAATTAACATTAATACATCAATATAAATTACAATTTTAAACAAAGAATGAAATTCTTATGCGGTTTGTATAGTTACCTGCTGCAAGCGGGGGAAATGTCAAATCGGGTTTTGTTTTTTAGTTTATTTAACTTTTCCCTTAGGTATTCGCAATTCCCCTACTCTTTTTCACATAAAAAACATTGAAAAATAATATATTTACCTTAAATAGTATTATATAGTCTCACGTATTATAATGCTGAGAATATATCGGTCTACGGTTAGGTGCCAGAAGTGAGAGGTTATCACTACTTTAATATACTGCAATATACTGCAATAGTTTCATTCGTGTTTACTCCGTGTTCGCAATTCCCCTCACTCTCTCCTCCTAATTTCTAAAAAAAAACACAAGTTTGGAATTCTCCCCCACTTCCCTACTAATTTAAAAGAAAAAAAAACAAGCTATTTATATTAAACTGTATTATTTAATCTTAATAAATACTCTATTTTCATAAGAATTCTTCATCAGCTAATTTAAAAATTAGGTATTCAAATTTTTCTTTATCTCTAAGAAACGAACGAACATCGAACTTCTTAGAATTATTTTTATCTTCAATAGTATAACGATATATATATTGTATATATATAATATATGCTGAGAATTCTTCTTTTAAATTGTTCTGCATCAATAAATAAATATATAAATATGTATTGCAATTCTATATTTCCTAAAAAGGAAACACTGATTGTAGTCGATCTTTTACAAAACCATTTAATTAACTTATAAATCGAAAAATGTTCTCAGAATATATATTTCATCAATAATTTGCTATTTAGTATAAATACGGAAAAACATTAATTTATTCCGAGATATATTTATAAAAAAGGTGTATTTATGAAAAAAAATCAATTTATATGCTTTTCAGCGAAAATAAACCACCTAAAATAACGATTAATTAAACAAAATTCGAAGCTATTTAAAATGACTTGTTTTATCCCTTTTGAAAAAAATGTTTTATGTTAAATTATTTCAATTTATATCATCTAGGATAAGTGGTATACAAAAGATTAATTTATTCTGATGTGTATACAGTGAAAGGAAAAACTCGCATGATCTTTAGTTTCTGACGTCATGAAACTAATATGTTGCAGTGAGGAGCAGAATGCTTCGGGCACTTTTCAAGAAAAAGAAGCAGAAGAAAGTATTGATTTATAAATAACGACTAATAAATATTAACTTGTCTAAAAAATATATAAAAAAAACTAAACGAACAATTTTATCTCTCACAAGGAAACGAGCTATACTAAAGAAAAACAAAAAGTCAACAAAAATCAAAATGACGTCAAAATTTTGGCTAAAAGCCAATAAACAATTAAATTTTGTAAAAAAAATTATTATTTTGATGTCAAAGTACATCATTTTGACTTTCTCTTTGACTTGATATGTTTTTTGAGTATTGCAAAAGCGATATCGAAAGACTATAACGTAATCAATCGAAACATCATGTTTGAAATAGGTATTTTAAATGGTCTCGGGATTCTAGATTCTGTACCAAACTTGAGCTGAACATTTTTGGCTATTTTAATTTAAACATCAAGATATCTCGAGAAAATAGACTTTTATTACTTTTTACAATTATTTACAATTATAACTATCAGGGGAGATAAGCATAATTTTTGTTCATTTTTTACAATCGTTTTTTAAAGCAATCTTATCTCTTTTTAAATAAAAGTAACTTATTATTTTTAAGAAAAACTAATAAAAACTAAAAAGAGCACAAAAGAGAAACGTGCACGCGGTATGCATTATTTTGTCAAATAAATTATACTAGCGTCACTAAATAAATGTTAATTAAATTAAAAAAAACTAAACCAGTTTTGGTTCTCCTTTCAACTGCATATCGTAACAAGTAGTTCGATATTGGTATTTATTAACACTGTAATTCTCCAATTGTTCCAAATCAGTACATGATCTTTTAAAATGAACAAGAGCGTATATTTCTTTTAATGATGTGAGGATAGCATGAGGTCTTATACGGGGTCTACAATATAAGTTGTAGTGATCGTTGGATCTTATGTCGTAGAAAACTGACCAATCACAGTCGAATATGAAAAGAATAATTAAGTATGATTGGTCAATTTTCTACGACTCAAGATCCTACGATCACTACAATTTGTATTGTAGACCCCGCATAGCAGAATTTTTGTTTTAGAAATAAAGACAATCATGTAGCTGAATTGACTGTCATTTATTTTTTATTTGTCATTCTTTTAAAACTAGTGAAAAGTTTACAGTACATGTTTCAGAAGAAATAAAATCAGATAGAAAGCGAGTACACAGAATTAGGAAAGGAAAATGGATTTTTTAAATTTAATTTATCGCCCTCGCCCTAATTAAAATACCTTTATGCAATCACAACTTGCACACCTGCTTGCAGTAATCCTGTTTATTGCAATGGGCTGTCTTTAAACATTTATCTTTTAGTAACCCGTTTTATCTAAGTAGTAATTATATTTATCTTCATATCTCTCCATTTTCAAATCTCAACTAGTTCCAAAATCTTTCTCTTTTCCAGTAAAACATGTTTCATGTATAATTGTATATAAATGGTTATATATAATTATACAAAACTATATCAAAAATATGTCCCATATGTGGTCATATATATTTTATATATATTATGTAATAAACTTAGTAACAAACTTGTGTAATAAAATTTTGCAATAGTACCTAGATAACAAAAATGTCTAAAATTGAGCTGTAAGACGTTTTTTTGTGTCTAAAAAACGATTTAAAGATACCTTATTTCACAATTTTAGACTTTGTGTTATTCGGATATAAATAATGCAGAATATTATCCATATCTATTACCTATATTATATTAAATATCTAAAAATTTAATAAAAAATTTATATAGCATTTTAGAGACAATCAATATAATGTACTTCAGTCCTTGGAAAACTAATAATAAGAGATGTAACAAAATATGCACATTAATATTGATGCAATTGTTTTGTATTGTAAATTCTCATTGTTATCATTAAATAAACTACAAATGAATATTTGCAGCTAGTTATTTTCAATTAGTTTAGATTAAATATTTATAATAATAAAGATTATAGATATTAATAATAACTTTAAATACACAAACACGAAGTATCACTATGATAGATTAATAACATAATCATACAAGGACGTATGTATAATTATGTTATTTAAATTATATTTATATACATATATACGTAAATAAACTCCCCAGAGTGTTTTGTAATTTTAAAATTCCAATTATATCTTTTCAACTGAAGAAAAAATGTATACCATTACCTCTAAAACACTTCAAATTCTAATTATGAATACTTCTGCGTAATTAAATACACTCTTTAATTATGTTTGATACTAATAAATTATATATTTAGATTATTCAACATAAATCATAAAAATATTTCAAGTTCTACTAAGATATAATATATAAGTATGAATATGTAAAGAACATATAGTACGTATGCATATACATCTCTGTAAGTAAAAAAATGAACTTTAAGTATAAGTATTCTATGTATGAATAACTTCTATGTATGAATAATAAAAGAAAATATTCAAATATATAATAGTACTACATTTATGGATTATCAGATTATACTCGAATATAATATATTTTAATATTTATAACTGATCAAAAAGCAAGTACATTATTGGTACGACTAAACCAGTTTTTGTCCACGTTGTAGCAAATAAAACTTTAACTAGCCACCAAATTAAACCTAGTAGAGCAGCTTGCAAACCCAGATGAGCGACCATAAGACTGGAATATAAATGTCAATCGTCATAAATATATAATTTATTTTTAACGTTGATTAAGTAATCATATATTCAGTAAATATACTTACATTTTATCTTTGGAACGTGCTTTTGGTAAAGATTTTGGAGATTCCTTATGAAGATATGTTCTAACACCTTGTACCAATTCTATAAAATAGTTTGGCCAGTTTAACGGTCTCATGTCCAGCGTAAATAATTTTTGATCTTCTAGTGATAACGATTCGTGCAACTGCAACATGCGCGGATTATTAAATTTCCATTCTTGAAAGATAAATTTCTCAAGGCGTCCTAATGATCTGCTGACATTTGTATGCAAACGAACCAGACTGAAAAAAATAAAAAAGACACATTCATTAAAAAAGAAATTTCGTGACAAATCGATATATTCATTTTATGTAAAATATCTAATCTTACATAGGACGGCTTCCGCATAATTTTGTGACTGCATCCAAAATATAAGCAGGAATGAAATGAAAGAAAATAGCTGAGATTTTAAATAAAAAGAGCGATGGTAGTAACTTTATATGTGGATACCAAATGGCGCTTCGTAATGGATAATTGTGTAAATGGTTATTAATTTTGTTTTCTATCAACTCCCATTTAAAAGGGTTACATGTACTGGATGTACAATGATACACCTTTAACCCATTGTCACTAAAAGTACAGATTATGTTAGAAAACAAATATTATAATTTAAAAAATGTTCGTGCCTCTTTTAAAAAGCAAAATATGTGTAAAACATTTAATAAAACGTATGTTTCTTTAAAATTACCTGTCACGGTCAACATTATAACCTGCAACAATTAGACTATTTACGACTATATCTACTGGAATATAATCATAAATAAGATGTTTTGCAACTGGTAATCTTCTTATGATACCCTTACCGGCACCTAATATAAAACCTTGTGGTCCATTCTTTGAAATTGTCCACCCTGGAACTGGTTCCTTCCATGCTCCTGCAACTAATTTATATACATTTTATTAAATATAGTAACATAAATGATAATGATATAATCCCCGTGTAATTAAATAAAGACTCACTCATCGAAGGACGAACGATAGTTGCTGGAAAACCTCCGTTTACTACTTCGTGTTCAGCCAAATGTTTGGTGAATGTATAAGGATTTGGATGATTCTTCAATATTTCAGGTGTTTTGGAATTTAAGGTGGCGTCATCTAGTGTATCGACAAGCTTCAAAAGTGTATTCACGTCCGCTGGCGCGGGATATATTATTTCATCAACATTATGCAATACTGCATTAACATACGCACTAGAAACATGAACCAGCGCCTAAAATGGCAGACATTAAATAAAACAATTATTCATCAAGATAAATAATTAAACGTCTTAAATAATTAAACGTCAAAATAAATAAATAAAGGTAATATAAAGGTATGTGTTAAAAATGCAAGGATAAGCGCTTGTACAATATTTCTTCAGAATACCGGTTTACCTTGAGTTTTTTTATCTCTCGACAGAGGTGGACGATTCTACGAGTTCCCAATAAGTTAATATTTACTGTAGTCTTTAGATCAGCCTCAAAGTCCAACGTAGCGGCTGAATGAAAAACGACTTCTACTGTATTTATTAAGATTGTTCGATCTTGAGAAGACAATCCTAAATTTTCTTCACTAACATCTCCAGCAATTGCGATCAGCTTATCAAATAAATCGGTTTGGTTCTCCTCCCTCATTCGGTTAAAGACCTATGTAGAAATGAGTTACAACTCATAATCAGTAAGTAAACCATTTATGATGTCAGCAGATTGGTAACCAATTTGGTCAAAAAATGTTAGCAAATTGGTATCAATTAAGTCCATATTAAGCTTGTGTTTTGCTAGCAGAGCCTGATTGATTTTTGTCATCAATTTACTATCAGATTATATAGTTAATATTCTGCATTGTTCATATTAAAAATCTACAGTGCATTTAACATATGATATAGATTTTTAACATTAAATATCAGCAGTCATAATCTAACAGCAGCATTGATAATAGAAGTTGAACAAAATCTGTCAAATTCTGCTTTATTTATGCTGCTAATCTATATTAAACTGTACAACAAATATGTCAAGATTTATTTTCATTACTGTCTTAGGCTATAATAGGATTTCTTACTTTTGTAAAATTTAAACTATATATGCATATTTTATTGCAAATATAATATATTAGCAATAAAAAGTAGATATTTTAGGTTTAAGTATTTTTATAAAATTCTAATGCACAGTTTTCAGTACAGTAATAAAAAAAAAATTTTTTACTTACTTGACTTGTATCATTAATCTGTCATCACTTTATTGACAAATTGCTGTATCAACATTCTGTCAACGCAATTCAGCAGAATGTTTTGCAATTTTTGAAATTTTGTTTCATATGCTAATTATACTTTTAAATTTAGAGGAATGATACCTCAGCAAATAATTATAGAACGGTTGCAAAACACTGTTGTGTTCTACTGAAAGCACTTATTATATGTCTGATTCTAATTAAATTTGTCGCTCTTCTGATAATAGGATTTGTAGCAAACATTTTACAAAATCTATTCTTTTTAGTTATTTCTTGCACAATTCATCTTTTCTCTTTTTCTATTCAAACTGAAAAAAAAAGAAAAGATGATAGGTACAAGTTCAAATAAAAAGAATAAATCTTCAGTTTTTAACAGACTTTTGGCTATCCAAGAATGGATGTAGGAGATCCACATTCAAGAAATCGCGAGAGGCGTTTCAATGCGCCACTTACCGAGTTTTTCGTCAATTCTTCCAATCTCTCCGTGATCTGCTTTCCCTTCTTCGGTCGTATTAGCAAATAAATGTTCTTAATATCAGGGCAACATCTCAAGAGTTTCTCTATCAAGCAGACCCCGACAAAACCGGTGCCACCGGTGATGAATATGCTTTTGCCATTGTAAAAATCAGATACGTACGATGCCATTGTTAACGTTAATCAGTGATCAATCAACTTGACAAAATGTTGACGGTAGATGCTTACAGAGGAGACAAATGGTTTAACTTAACTTGATGAATGAGGAGCAGCAAGTCGCGTTGCGAGCGACGTTAAAGACACGAAAATCGGTTACGCACCGACTGGCACCGACTGCTCTATTCTGTACCACGACTTGTCATATTAATAAACTGCCGACTGTCACCACCTACCACGGCACGGCAGTCACACTGCTGAGTGCTGTTACCTGTCACTACTCCACATGCTATTCCACAAGCACAGGTAGTTCTGGCAATGACCCAAGTTACTGTATATATAGTGTAATTTTCTTGATTTCACCGTTAAGACCAGTGACGGATTTAGACAGAGGTCTACGAGGCTCAGTCTTAGGGGGCGCTGACCTTTTAGTAATTAAAATTATAATAAAGTTAATTTTGTATTTATGTAGGATTGCTAATTGTAGCGCATTTCCGCCAATGATAGTGTTTTAGCACATAAAAATAAAATCTTGACGCTTTGGTAGAAAAGTGATACCTTTCGCTGATAATCAACTTCTTTTCATTGTTCATTTGTCCAAAAGAGACACCAAAGGTATAGGGCCTAGGGTGCAAAAATGTGTATATTCGCTACTGGTTAAGGTTCCAGAAGGGACTACGCAGAATAAAAGGAACAGAGAATAAGAATTTCAACCTATCAAAAATCATATACTGTGGAGTAAACAGTGTGTATTCCACAGTACATGATTTCTAATAGGTTGAAATTCTTTATTCTCTGTACCTTTTATTCTGCGCAGCCCTAAGCCCAAAAGACACAATGCGAGGAAATAGGGATAGAAATAACACGATTTATCAGAACCGTGTATTCCGTTATATCCGACTTCTGATAAGTTGAAACCGTATCTGTTCTTATCGTTATGTATACACCGAGACGAGACGCTAGGTTTTCGACAAATTTTCGTGACTATATCAATGGGACTTCAAGAGCCCAGGGATAATTGAAGAGCGATGACATTATCGACAATTAATAAAAATTTGCGATTATTAAATTCACGATTTTTTTTATTATATAATAGAAATGCTGTGTAAAGAAGAATGCATACTTTTAATGTTACAATATCTTATATTATCCGAAAAATTACAATTTTTTCTCTGCAGTTTTTATTGTTAATCAAACTCAATCTTTTCATCAGATCTCTTGTTTGCCGTTTGTTTGGTGGCGGTTATTTGCGAAATATTCATTATATATACAAAGGATTGAGAGATATCCATTAAAAGAGGATTCGTTGAAATTTTAATTAAATATTTTGCTAAGTTTTAATTTTAACTATATCAGAGTGATTTTAAATATTTCGTGTTTAGATTTTTAAAAAGGCGTAATTTTTGTTACTAATTTGTGAATTCAAATTGCACCTAATATCAAAATAATCAATATTAACAAATAACTAATATTTTTCATACACACACAGGATATAATATTTACCAAGAATATTATATAATATGTAAAAAGACGTATAACATTCATAGAATACTCTCATAATATTAAAAAATATATAATATTCATGAAATATTATAATTTATTTTAATTTTTTTATATTTAATATTTATTTAACGTTCTTGGAATATTATGCGTTTATAAAGAATTAACTAATATCCATTGAATTAGTTGCATAATAAAAACTTGAAAGAATTTTTGTCAAATATAGCGGCGTCGTTCAAAATGCTTTAAAAACATTGAACACACTATTTAGTAATAATTCGTAGTCGTAAATATTCCTTTCGCGCATCAAGGAAACACAAAAATATAAAATTAAGTAAAGAAATTTAATCTGAAACTATCGTTTTTCAATTATCTGTAATTATCCTCTTCGCTCTTCTCTTCTCCCATGTTCGAAAGCAAAACAATTTTCAATATTTCAAACATCAGAAAGCGCGCAAACAATCGCAAACGCGAAAAACGAATCCCGGAATGGGAGTTACTTTGTGTTTAATTTAATTTGGGGCACCTTCGACATTTTCTAATCTTTCTCTCTTATGACTCGTAACCTATGTAAACACTATAAACATCTCAGGTTGAGCCGTGAAAAGGAATGGAATTGAATGGAATATGAAATGAAATGAAATGTAGGGCGAAGACAGCGAAGGAGCGGGGCAGGAGAAGAGTGAATATCACGTTTCGGATGCGCGCGCACCGTTCATGGCGATCGCGAGTCGCGGAGTTGTGGAGTCTGTTCGTGTTCTTGCAGACGACAACGATAGACAGCGGTTCCTCGTTCGATTTACCGAGCCTGAGTTCTCGTCGTACCGATTCACATCGAAGAAGTCACGGCAACCGCGAGCGCGACGGCAACGATCGAGCTCGGCTTTCGTCGGGAGTGTACGGCAACCAACCGGCAAGACGAAGCTCAAAATGCCACTGGTGAGTCCATCCTCTATTCGCTCTTTCTCTCTTTTTCTCTCAGCTCTCTTCATCCCGCTCGTCCTCGAGCGCCTCTTTCTGGCTCATCTGGTTGTCATCCCATCGGTCGTGTGAAGTGTTTCGCTCGACTTGACCATCTTGCAATCTGTCCCTCGAAAATCAATCTCTGCGTCACGATTCTTGATCGACGAGCGATTGTGACTACGAAACGGAGCGAGGATGCGACTGCCTGTTCTCACGATTTCTGAGGTAGGAGCTGGGTGCGGTTTTTGTGGTTAACTCCAGGTACAATGAGCGATGCGAGGAGGAAAGAGAGTTTTCGAGAGACAAAGCGAGTTAAAACATCAGCGTTAAGCTTTATCTTATGTGCACAATGGAATTTAAAGGAATTGGTAATGACAGAAAAGTATGTCATTATGTATATTGTACTACAAGCTAACGCTAATGTCAATTACAATTGTTTCCAATATCAGGGTGATATACAATGTTGCAGTACTTATTGATGCTAAGAGCATGAGAATGTATTAAAAATATATGTTCTAATATTTGTAAAAAGAAGCAAATAGCAATTTTTTCGAGAAATTCAAATAATTCAATAATTATGCGACGTTACATTTTATTTTATAGAGCCAGAGCTCGAAGAAAACATTATGTGTACTGCCTGACGAGATTATTTACGAGAGAAAAGTACGTTATTGTACAAGAATCTGATATTAATATTTATTCTTTGTTAACATGTATGAAAATTTATTATACTATCATATTTGGAAGATAAGGTTATAGTCTGTACAAAAATATAGACTTAATAATGTACAATAAATATGGTAATGTTGTATCTTTTTAGAGTAATCATGCTGCCCTCACACCGCTGGAAGACATGTCCGCGGGACGAGGGCAGGCAGGTGGAGGGCCTCCTCAGAACTGTCAAAAAGTTTTTATACAGCGCGACTACAGTGAAGGTACTGTGGTCAAGTTCCATACACGGTTTCCTACAGAATTGGAGAGTAGAGTAAGTATCGCAGTCGACAATTTTTAATCTATGTACATCGCAAGACTAATATGTTTTCTGAAAAATCAAAAGAAACGATCGAAAAATATTTATTAGAAAATATTTCTTCAATTTAGTTGGACAGACAATTGTTCGAGTACACGATCAATCAATTGAACAACTACTTCGCCGAGGCAGAGCGTGCCAGTTGTTCTACATACTGCGAGAGCTGCCTATACTGTCTCACAGGTTATCTGATAAGCATATGTACTGAATCGCACTACGAAAAGTGTCTGCGCAAGGTTGCCAAGTTTGTCAGCGAACAAAACGATCGAGTGTACAAGCCACGCGGCCTCCTGCTGACAGATCCAACAACGCGCGGACTCAGGCTAATAGAGATCTCGGTACTGGATAGACCTGCGTCGTGACTGCATATTAGCCGATCCAGGGAGTTCTTCATGTGACCCCCCGTGCATCACTCTGGACATTATGTCGCCAGAATCACGGATATGCACGCGCTCGTGAGTGCCTGTCGGCACAATTATGGGGCATACCGGTTAGTTTGAATCATTTTCACAAGGTGCCGAAATTCTGCAAGGCTTGAAAGAAGAATTTTTCCGTCAACGATATCTTGTAGGCCGCAAATTGCTCAGGTGCACCTTGCACGATTAATCTTGCCGAACACGCATGCAATGATCAATCAAAACTCTCTTGTTGTCGGGCCATGCCTCGTACTTAGTTCTAAAAGGCAAATGTAGATTGATATGGTCAAATCTGTAATACATATGTACGAAAACCTGTGCGGGAAACAGGGATATATGCGGAAATATGCGCGATTGATTCGTGGGAATTTCACAGATTTATCTGTCAATTTAATTGTGACAAAGTAAGATTATACAAGGTCAGTCCAATTGTGGCAAGAAAGTCTTGTGTTCATTTGCATTCGTGATGTCTCGATCCTAAGTGGTAGCTGCTGTGTTCTCAAGGGAGAGCGTGTACCGAAGCGCGTGGATGGGTAACAAAGCCGTGGCACTTCTATAAGTTCAATTTTCTATGTGCATACACAGAACATATAACATACGAAAGTATATGAAGTATATGTGGCGAATTAAGGTGCGGTAGACAAGAGGAACTTCGTCTTCGTATATGTTATTGAATGACGCGAGTTAACTTACCATAAACCGGTACTTTAATTTGCCATATATATATAACGGGGTCTACATATTTTTTTACTGTTCATTTATGACTTTATCGTATCACCTGCATTTAATTAATGAGACATGAATGAGATGCGTGAATTACTTAGCAAAGAGGCATTCGATGTTAGCGTTTGTAGCACGTTTCGTTCAGGTTCCATCGAACTGAAAACCTCGATTGCGAGCGAGTCTCGTTCTCGATGAATGCTGATGAACGAATCTCCGAGTTCTTCTCATCTTCCGCGATGTATCTTCCATTGCGTTTGTGTATCCGCGCGTATAAAGTGTAAAGCTTTTTCACATACGTATATACATGGAATGGGATGTTCAGTTCGTCGCTCGTGTGGGTGCCTCTCGACAGCAAAGATGGTAGATTTGATTGGAATTACTAGCACAAACATTTGTCGCGCCGTAAAGAAACCCGAGAATTGGCAAAAAAAAAAAAGAGAAAAAGAAATTGTGTAAAAAGTGGTGATTTATAAAAAAAAAGAATAAGTTACATTACAAATTGACTAGTATTGTGATCAAGGCGAAAATCGTTTGCGATATAATACGAAAAACTTTGTACATTTTAGCCCGTTCTCTTAGTCGAAACTGGTCACCCATCGCGGCGCTAGACGCTTTTCATATTCCGTTCCCGCTAATTAGTTGTAAATACTAATGATCTCAAACGATACAACGACGCAACACCATATTTATCTTTACTTTTTCTTATGCGCTTTGGGAGCCTAAAGTAGTGCGCCAGAGATACACAACGCCAACGATCCTTTTTTGGCATGAAGATAGCTTCGATTTTAACGTAATGCGAGCTTCGCGTAGAGAGCGGTACGATGTACACATTCACATTCTATTCGACAGATATCCTAGAAACGTTCTTAGGATGTACTTCTACATAAATTTAATACTGGCTAATACACTGAAAGATAATTAATTACTTATTTTAAGTATTAAAAGCATTGTTGCTTATCACTTTTAGTACTCCAAATAAATAGTTAATTATTACTTTCAGTAATAAATTGGCCAGATTTTTGTAAAGATAGGAACATCTTCTAAACATTTTTAGGACATCGTTCGGAGATCTTTGCTGTATGAATAAATAAACATGAAAATCTTGCGTGTCCACAGTATTGAGAATTTGGACTTGTCGAGGTTCTTTATCGATTGAAAGCCTCGATTTATGCTCACTTGCCGCAGACAATGGCGAACAATCTCTCGTTCTTGATCACAATGCTCACGGAGCCTGCCCGACGTTGTAATGCGATGTTGTTTGCTGAAAGGATCTTGCCAAATAAGCGTGTCACTGCCTCGGCGTATGATTTCCTAGCACGTATAAGCGCTTGGAGGAGACGTACGGGGATCGTCCAAGAAAGATCTCTGAGATCGAGCGAGAGAAAAGTGATATCGAAAGAATGGAGGGGTGAAAACAAACGAAAAGCCGCAGGAAGGAAGTCTCCCGGGAAGTTTCCCGCCAATTTTTTTGGGACGTCGCAATATCACGTACATAGGGCTCTGACTGCATGTGCGTTCTCGCGTGCACGCATGTTTGCATATAATGTATATAATAGCGGATTATAATTGTCGACACGAAATCTAAGGAGACGGAAAGAAGTAAAAAGAAAAAGGAGGAACCGTTTGTTATACTTAATTTAATTTAGTAGGACCAATATTGGATTGATGATCCGTAACTGTAAAGGACACCATCGTATGAGTGTAATTTCTAAATGTTTTATTAATAAAAACGGCGTAAATATACGTCATGTATTAAATAATCCACCCTCGATCCCCATCGAGATAACGTTTCCTCTTTCTCCTTTCCTCGTTTCATTCAAGTGTTATAATTTTTTTTTTTTCAAACTCTGCAGTGGAAAAACAAAATGTTGATAATAATATTTTTATTAGTTATGTTCTTACATTAACGGTCTTTAGTATTGAATGTTATTTAATTTTTTATAAGTTATTCAAACCAATTTGCAGTAGTTAATTTCAGGTATAATTACTATAAATATCTGAGGAATAAAATTTGTATGTCCTAAATGTGGATGTCTTTCTTTTTCAAAAATATTAAACTAGTGTCAGCTCGGATTCAGTCTATTCAAATCCATTTTTTATGGATTTGAAATATGCATTCACAAAATTTTGATTCATTTTAATCCATTCTCGTTTACTGGGAGAAAAAATTCACAATATCATATTTTGGTAGAATTCGAATTAATTACGAAATCGAATTTTAGATATTTCTATATTGAATGGAAATGTAATTTTATTTCAGTAGATATGTTATAAATGTAAGTAATGTAGAGAACGAATCTGAAAGCACTTTATAGACAACAAATCTAATTATTGTAAACCGAAATTAATCGCTTCGATGCGATACTTCGACAATTGCTGTAATGTTGCATCTATCGATAAGTTCCGAGTTGTGAAACGCGCCATATTGAAGTCATAAAATTGCATTCGAAGCAAACTTCATTCAGCCGATCGGTTTCTCAAGTTACTTTATGAACGAGAACGCAATCGTCCAAACAGAACATCAAGTACGGTATTCAGGGCCACTTTAACCAACAACGATTAACTTAATTGGCCAATCGTATCTGTCGTTAAATGAAATGACAAATGCGATTGATCAATTCCAATGGACTAATCGGAATTGGTTAAAGTGGCCCTCAATTATTTTACGCTTTTTTTTAATTTAATAAGTTAATGACTTTTAGTGATCATTTTGAAGCTGTTACGATATTATTTTGATGTTGTATGATGGCTATGTTCTACTTGAGGTGCATATATACCATAATTAGTTATTGATTAATTAGTTGATTATTGTCGCGGTAATTAGTATTTCAAATAGAGGTGTATGGTTTTCTTACATCGCACGATTCGGTGGCTCTTATATTTGTTACATATCGGTTTAAAAATTGATCTCACGCGCGAAAAATCGTCGCGAAACTCAAATATTTTTTTTGGCACGTTAGCGTCGTACGCAATCGCTATTTCTTATCGTCAATATTATAATTTCAGCATCGGATCTGCTTCTTACGCCTGAAGAGTTAGACTTCGGAGTTTCGACTTCAACTTACCTATTTTCTCATCGAGGTTGTAGTTGCATCGAAAGTGTAATGGCTACGCGGTCGTCATCAGGTATGTGCATACTATGATTTTAAAACTGAACGAAAAAGTTCTTTATATATTAAAAAATAACACACACATATATATATATATATATATTTAAAATTCAAGTCAAATATCTCAATTTAAATATGGAACATTACTGTATCTCGAATGACAAAATCTATCGCTATTACGATGTTTATCGACGTTGTTCGATTTCTATCCGAACTTGAGAGAACCAACTTTATGATTTTTAAGTTATTTTGATGTGTCTAACAAAGGCCTGAGCTTTCGCGATAGGCATATAAATCACAAAAAGCATTAAAAGGAATTAATATAATTTATTTAATACAATATATTTAATTTTTTTTTAAATTCTTCAAATTGCGTTTTAAAATTCTCTTTTTTATTAACTATAGAATTTATGTTACGCTTAATCACGATCATAATTGGCAAATATTTTTAAAACAGGGCTCGACACGCTTTGCAACTTTCGGCCGATTTTCGAATCGGCTCCACCTTCCGCTGTTCCGCATGACGGTCGAGCGGTATTTTGACTGCGCGCGGGTGGTGAGGTGAAGGGGAACAGCGGAAAGCGGAGCTGAAAATCGACCGAAAGTTGCAAAGCGTGTCGAGCCCTGTTTTAAAATATTTAGGTATTTTTGTAAGTAAAATTTTTCTGATTTATATTACAATATGAATATATATTTGTATATATTTAAAATATTATATAAAAAATATATATACTTATGTATATTTAATATATTTTCTGATTTATATTAATTAGATTAAACTGAAACGTTTTAATTTTGCTTATTTGTGAAAAACAACAATAAGATACATTTTTGGGATATTTCAAATAATTTGAGACATCCGCGCGGCTGTTTGAGCACATCCAGATTTTATTTAACCATGTGCAACAATTTCTGATAGGCATATTGATTCGCAGCTATATCAAAAGACTAGAAACCAGTCTCACTCTCGTGTTGCTCAACTCTCAGACTCACACTTGGAAAACATAATGCGCTTGGGAAATTTTATATGAAAACTAATGAGGGCACTCTGATTTAACTGATTGTGAGTTTCGCAGTGTCCGCAATTCGACTGACGCCAATCAAACGTGAAAAAAAAAGGAAGTGTTAAATTACGGATTTTGATTGCTCAGAGATTGAAATCGCTCGATCCGGATACGTACATAATGATAAAATTTATACCGACATGTTTTGCCGCGAGTAATGTAATTTATGTAATTATCGAAGGGTCAATAATTCGACAAAACTCGTACTGTAGAAATAATAATTGGTGGACTCGCAATCATGCTTGCGCAACAGTTTATGTATGTTGCATGCACGATTTAATTCTATTATTGCCTCTGTTTATGAGACACATAACGTGAAAGTATCACCAGTTGCTATGTGCCCACGATCTTTACGTACACGTA